GCAAAGTCACGGCGGCAGGTTGGCCTCGTTTTCAGCTCAATCTCAGGCCCCGAGCCTCAAGTGCTGCGGTTTATCTGGTCGAATCGTTTTTTTGTGCCGCCCCCATGCATACAAGTTGCTTTTCAACCTAGACAGCTCGGCTGTGGCGTTCGCAAGTGGATAAGATGAGCTCGACATGTACCGAAATAGTAGTTGATTATCATTGCAGGACTAGGAAGTTTGACATCCATGGATTGTAAGCTCGACAGCTCTCACATGCAAAGTAGATGCATACAGCAAATCCCTAGTTGAGGCTATTTCATGGTTAAGCTTCTCGACTGGATATGATAAATGGGGATCGGATTAGAGGACTTACTACTCGGGATCTATCTCCATCATTCTCATCTACGTACAACATACCGGTTGTACCACCGATGCCCCATCGGCCTGGGATTTGGTGCTGCGACATCCCGGAACGATAAGGATGCTGTGCTCGGGGCTCTGTGGCCCTAACAGAGATTATGTGGGTACACAACTTGATACCAATCCCATAGTCGTGGAAGAGGAGCCGAGCATTTATCACGCACTTGGATAACTGGAATTCGTCATACATGTATCCAACAAACCGATCTTCGGCTTTGTCGAGTATTGTCTTAGGGTCTAGGTGTTGATTTAAAAAGCATGTAACCCTTGGTCGATGTCATCTGAGTAAATTGCCCGTGGCTGACAATTTGAGGGATAGGGGGGAAGAGAAGAGTGTTGTGCTTTCTCTTGACGCAGCGTGGCGCTTGAAAACGGAAATTGGAGGGATATATACATTGGCTATGTCGGCCCCGATTTGACATTGCCGGCGTTCCCGACCTACCAGAGCACATCGTATTGGTAACCATCTTGGCCGAGATGAAGAAATAGAATGATCTTGCCCCATTGCTTGATGATTGGTCTGCGACTTTCCACGAAGATAGTAAGGTAGATAGACAAAAGTACCTAGTACCCATCTACATAGCACTGAATACCTATTTTGGAACTCAGGTAGGTATGTATTGGATGTAGATAAAGAAATAAAAATACGGGCATTGCGCGGCGAATAACCCCCTGCCTGTCAGTTTTATGGGACCAATTGATGCCGCTCCGCAGCCGATCGGACACCCGAACCGACTGCAGAATCTAGACCAAGGAGTTGAGGCTAAGGTGGTTCGCTAAATGGCTTACTACCGACAGCTTGGCTTTGGCAATGATCCCCGTGATTTAACCTGCAGCCGTTCTGGCCGAACCTTTCATTTGAGTTCATATAATTCAAGATATCAACTCGGGAACCTCCGAGAGGCGATGAAGATACCTGCCGAGGTAGGGTAGTCAGTTATTTAGCGTACGCCTAACTCCATTTGAGAACGAGGCGGGTTGGTAGGTTGGTATGTAGGTCGGTGGCCGGGATCCAAGTAGAGGCCAGTCGATGTTAATCCAAGGATTACATATTTGTAGATGTAGGATGCATACACATCGAGGTAACGGCCCTGTCTCAGATCAGATAGGAAGGGAAAAGGGGGGTCGTTGACGGGAGGTACAGATTCTCGGGAGGCAAAGAGGACTGCCAGATCAGAGACCAGGTAAGACGCGTCTTACTTACACGTACATATGTATTGTAAGAATAGGAGTTACATACCTAGGTAGGTACTATGTAGGTAAGTAATTACTGGGTACATGTATGTCCATCAGGACTCTGGAAGGGAAGCTTTTCTTGGTACCTTCCCTACACTAGGTAGTAGGTACTTCAAGTTTCAAGATTGATTATACTTTACCACGGCAGATACTACATACATGTATGTATGTATGTATGTATGTATGTATGTATGTATGTATGTATGAACTGGGAGGTACCTTCCTACAGAGCACCTACGATGTACATATAGTAGTGCTACTATCTATCATGTAGGTACTATCATGTTAGACTTGAACATGTGAATATGAATCAATTGTACAATACAGGGTTATACGGATTCTTGAATGTTGTTTCCGACCTAACTAGATTCAATGAAGTAAGTACCTAATTACCGATGATTTTTTTTTTCTCTTAGCCGGAGGCCTTCAAAAGTTCCAATTGAAAGCTAGAAACTTCAATGTTCCCTAAATGCTCAAGTTAATAGTAGGTACTACATACTAGGTAGTATGTACCTACTAGATGAAAATTGGTAAGTCACTTCAAGTTTGGCCGGACGGACCTGCGCATAATGCTTAAGGGCCTTAAGCTCGATTTGTCAATGTTGGAAGCTGCCCAGCTGCATTTTTTGTCTCTGCAGTGCACCCGCACCTCAAGCAGTGAGGTGTAAGTGCAGGTACTCCACGTAATGGCAGGGGTTAATAATAGGCGTTGTACTGTACTTGAGTTTTATATCGAGTGCTCAAGTCCCTGTTACTCGGTTACAGGGCCTTAAGCTCTCTTCGCCCCCACCCCTTATACATGTAATTGCAGTCTGCAAGGGTGCTTTAACACATGTACTGTACCTACTTACTTTATATGTTACATGGTACAAATGGGGTCTAGGAAGTGTGTGGACACCTAAAATAGTGGACCTAAAACATCAACATAACTTATAAAACTTATAACTTTACGAAAACCTTACTTATTTTAATGCAGTCAAAGGTTTTACTTAAATTAAGTTACGTAGTTTTTAATAAAAAATGTAAAAAAATCATATACTTTAAGTTGAAAAGGATATATTAGTATTTGTTATTTTTATTAAAAAACTTAAAGTTTTAAAACGCTTATCATTTATAACGTTTTATTATTTCTTATGTTTTAATTCTTGAATTAAATTAAAAATGGATTAATTTAATTTAGCTTCGAAATATATAAGGAGATTTAACAAATAAATTTTATCGATTTATTTTATATTTTATTTCAACGCTTGAAAACATAATATAAAAGTTGAAATTATAAGAAAAATATTTATAACTTTACGAAAACGTACGTTTAATTTTTTTTATTTTCACTTTTATTATATTAAAGCTCTACTAAGCCTATATAAAAATAAGAAAAAATGAAATATCATAAAATAAAGAAAGTGAAGTTTTAATATTTCATTTATATATATATTTAAAAATTAACTTTTAAATCTTAATAAAATAGATAAAATTATGAAATTTTAACATATTTCTCTTTAAACTTTAAGGATATTAAAACTACTTTTTGTTTTAAGTTTCATGTTAAATTAAAAGAATTATCTTCGTAATTAATTTTATTAAAAAATAAAAAAGTCTTTAAATTAAATAAATACTTACAAATACGCAAGTTCTACTTATAAAACTTACACCATTAAATTCAGAAAATTTCAAGGAATATTTATATATTAATTTCATATTTTAAAGTTGAAAGCTGGTAAAGTTATTTAGATTTAACGTAATAAAACCTATAGTGGATTTACTGTCCACACACTTCCTAGACCCGATTTGTACAATACATAGTACCGATCAACCAGGCAGCTGCCAGGGTGGCGTTCGCAACATACCAACCCCCGTCCCCCGTCGCCGCAAACCTTACTTCCAGTACTTCCAATTACTAGGTATGTATGAATTCTAAGCCTCCTGTCCAATGATTTCTGCTTGCTTTAGCTCGTCGCTCCGATCTCTTCCTTCTCTGCACAACAGACGACACAGTCGACAGGGACATCACTTATTACCTACATTTACATATGCGGCAGAGACCCTGACTTTCAACTCTATGCTCTTCTTGGGTTTTGATCCCCCTTTTAGTTCGTTTTAAGTCCCTTTAGCTTTAGTGAACGCCTCGCCAGGCAAGTCACGGTCTGTCTTCCGCCCATGCCATGCACAAACATCCGCATGGATTGTTTTTGCAGCCTCATCTTTTCAATAAACACGATAAGCATCGTCATCGTCATCCCATACCTTACTGTTTGTGTGTCTCGTTGATGCTTAGATGCCATCGTGTTTCTTCAATCTGACGCTGAAGTATCCAAAGATCGCCAGCATCGTTGCCCTCTTCGCCAGCTTGCATTTCTCTACTTTGGATAGCCAGTGATCGTCTAGTCGAGACTACAAGGTAGTTTGGTTTTCATATTTGAATTTCGCCTAAACTCTTCACCCTCCATTCTAAATCTAATCCCGGAATTCGTAAGACGACAGCTCAATTTCTTGCGTCATCACTTCAGAGCCGCCCTATACTGCTTTGGGTCAGCTCCCGTCGAAAGGAAAGATACAGAGAGGAAAAAAAAAAAAAAAAAAAAAAAGAAAAGAAAGGAAAAGAAAAACCACCGAAAAATTCACATATCGGAAATATCTATACCTCAATTGATATTCGTGAATATGCTAGCGGAATCGGAATCTAGTTGTAAGCAGTGAACCTGCTGATTGCTACATTTTTCACAGTCTTTCTACCCTAGGTAGGTATAGTAACTTTATTATCGGGCTATTTCTCATTTCATCCGTCTATCCATCTTCGTAACTGGCAGAACCCTGTACCAAGCCTCACAAGTGTGATCGCCCCCCCACAATGATTACATCTAGATCCTGTTGAACCGAAACTACATGCCGCAAGGTGGCGGCCCCCCTAGGTACCTAGTATACTAAGTAGTTCTCGTGGTTCAGCTGCCGAGGCCTGGTTACTGTGACCTTTGTGACCTAGTCACATAAGGAGTAATTATTTTATTGTTTTCAATATTGCCATCCCCCCCCCCTTTTGTTACTATTTCTCTTGGGTTTCTAGTATTAGTGACTTGCTTATAGACTTCCCCTTCTCCCTTAACTTGAAGTGGACTGGTCCAGAAGAAGATAATGGTGAAGAAGGGCAGAGAGACAAGCTACAACCTTTCTGAGAGGTATTAAAACCTTCATTGACCCGCCATTCCCAAGCCGGTTTCAACATCCCATCCTTAGTCTAACTCTCTTTCTCACTTGGCGTGCCACGGGTCAATTCGATGTGGAGCATCTGCGATGCTTAACTGGTACGCACTCCTTCTTATTACTTGATACTATATCCCACCTTCTTGTCGGTCGCTTTCACAAACTGGCTACCGTATATCTAGACGTCTTCAGGGTCCAGTCAAGTGTTATTAGACACTTTGAGGAGGTTTGCCGTCAGCAATAATAGGCGGCCGTCACAATCTCTGGCTATATATTCAACACACTCGCTAGCTTAACTTCGACGGCATGGCATTTCGTCCCCAAGGAGGTGGACCTCCTGGATTTCCAATGCCCTTCCAACCGTCTCAGTCCCGCTCACCTCCACAGCCTTCATCGTCTGGCGCACGGGGGATGGCGTCGGAGATAAATCCATCAGGGCCTTTTCTTCCATTTCAGGAATCCCAATTCGACATCCTCGAGTGGTACCCGCAATTTCAGTCGTGTGTGCGGTACTTCTTAGATCACGCGCAGCATAGCGGGCCAGTGCAGGCCGTTGCCGCATTTGTGAATATTCGACTGCCGTTCCAATCGCCTGGAAATCCAGTCATCTCGTCAAAGCCGCCTGGATCACCTTCAGCTGTACCATCTTCTCCGTCAATTGCAGCGGGGAAGCTTCCAATGTCCAGCCATCCACCTGTGTCCATTTCGCTGACCCCGTACATTCGACGCTTGGTAGCAACTGGTTTGGACCTTCCGGGCGTGCTTCATGGATTTTTCGGAGATGACTGGGTTGCAGGCATAGGCCATCTTCACGAAGTCGAGCGAAGAAACTTTCTTTTTGCAGCCAAGAGTGCTGGCTGGCTCAAGGTCAAGTCCCAATACGATATGATGGATGACCAGAGCATCCCTTTCTTACGACCACTGCAGAATGTCACAGAGGAGGAGATTGTCAACGCAGAAGCAAATTGGAGTGAGTGGTTGGCAATGCAGGACTGGATGGTCGGTCCACGCTCACCAGATGTCGATAGAGACATGGCAGTCCTCATAAAGAGCGAAAGCCTATAAACGATACATGCGGCATCGTCATTGCAAATTTACTGCATTACATGCCTTAGGGAAAGGGGATGCATATTTGGGGCGTACGAGGCCTGGGTACTAGAACGGATCTTTTTTCTCTCTCCTTAAACCGGCAAGATGCGGTTCATCATGAAAGTGGCCAGGCTTAACGATTTTGAGCTCGCCTCACTTCACCTCACCAAAGGGGTTCAACTAGATATCTTGAATTCACAGTACTTATTCGAAGGGTTGGGAGACAATGGGTTAGTCGAGGTGTGTTGTAATGCGGTTCATAATTAGGTATCGAAGGGATGGACAGGATGGTATTGGATATGGGATGGGATGGGATGGGATGGGATGGGATGGGTTTGGAATAGGCGAACCGAAAGGTGCCGGCGGATTTTCAAGGATGGCAAAATGACGGAAGGTACCTACCTAGTAATAATCCCAAGGGGTTAAAGTCTTACTATGTCGTATCTAGAAATCCGTGTAGTACATTACGTATTTGTATAGAGCCTATTTTGAATTCTGTGAGGATATTGAACTCGAATAACTGGGAAGATCGCCTGTCGCGGTAAGAAAATAGGGGGATCACCTATATACATTATGGATATTGTGGATACCTAGGTACCTATTCAATGTTGTACCTCCAAACTTTGGAGCATCAATGATCATACAACGTACATATGGTGAAGATCACATGGCCTAAGCTCTTGAAGCTAACCTGAGAATGGTACGGTCCTAGCCCTATCTTGGATTGAGCCCCTAGGCTTGGCAGCAAGTGTAGGCTGGATTAGCGACAGGTTGGGGTTCGCTTAGCTGTCGGTAGAGTTACTAGGGTAGTAGCACTAAAGGTCGCTAAAAAGCGTACCTACTTAGGTACCTAGGTAACTACCGACGTCAATTTACAATTGCCAACACCGCACCTACTTAGGTACAGATCTACCTATTGACACTGTAGGCTCTCCAGCTATTCAAGCCAGTACCTACATGTAGTAACTTAGTGTCTAAAAGATTTCAGCCTTGTTAATCTTGGTGTTTTTTTTTTTACAACCATCAACTTTCAACGTTCAATTCTCAATCCTCAACCTTTATATAACATGCGGTAGGAATTTCTAGAACAGGCCGGCCAATATCATATTATTCTATGCAAAGCCTGAGACTGTCGTTTAGAAACCAATCTAACCACATTACGTGGAGATGGAGATGGATGTAGATATGATAATGATCGACGGCGGCCTCGAACTCGGAGATGCGCCTACATACGACCATTTCGAATCCAAAGAAGAATGGGCTAAATTCTTAAGTCGATGCATTTCCTCCCGGCTCGCTCCAGAAGCATTCGACACGTATGTCTCTCTGCTGTACTCGAAATATCCATTGCCCCCAGCGGTCATTGCCGACCTTTGTCTGAGGCCGCAGCCTTCGAACCACGAAACCCTCGATCCTCGTATTCCGCGCTACATTCAAGTACTTTCGCAACGAAAGCTCATTGATACCCCTTCTGTACTTAAGGCCTTGTATAAATACTCGACTTCCCACGCGCAAGCCGAAAAGGTCGTCAACATACCCCGGCAAAGTTTGGAGGATGACGTGTCACTGAGATGGGGAAGCTCTTATGCCGCTGAAGAGGTTATATTCTATCGCATTACGAAAGCGGTTGCAATAGGGACTGGAATTCAGAACCCTGGCGATGCCCTGGAGATATGCAAGTTGATGGCCAAATGGATGGCCTTGTTCACTTCAGCGTCAACTGCATTTGCGCAAGATGTCATGGGTCAACTACAAAGCCCACAATCTAGGGACGAGATGGAGGCGGCGAGAGCTGCGTTCGTAATGCTCCTCTTGGGAATATGCGAGAATCAAGCTGTCCTGAGTGCTCTCGGCCGCCCATTAGCAAAAGGTACGTCCTTTCGCGTAACAAGCTTTTAATATCTTGCACCTACCTAAATTAGTACCAACCGTAGCTAACTAAAAGTAGATGCGCGAAGAGCGTTGTCCGAAGGGCTGGCTCACTTCGTGCCCTCGATTCTCCAGAGTGCATCGCAGATTGCTAGCAGGTTGGAGCTATTTCGTACGGAGACGCTCGCTTCATTTGAGCCGGCAGATAAGAAAAGAAATGTCGCCAATCCTGTAATGGATGACATAGAATCAACTATGGCCCTTGATAATTTTGTCGTAAACGAGTTGCCAATTATCAACTCCCGAGCTGGCTTATATATATATTTAAATGCTGCTGTAAGACCATCAAGCTATTATTCTATCATGAAAAATGCCCACTAACCGTGCCTAGCTTGTCGGGCGGCCGCTGATAGATGATGCGGCCCTGTTCAGTTATCTTCACAACAGATATCAGGTATGTTGAGACTAGTATAACTCTGAGGACTGGATGCTAACTCAGAAAGGGGGATATCCAATCGACAACTATTGACCTGATATTGGCTTCCTTCGACGTCCTTGCGAATGCAGTGTTTCGTAACGAAGGCCAGCAGGCAACACACCTCCTCCGGTCATATCTGATCAACAAGCTGCCGCTGCTTCTTGCAACGTTGGCAACATCAATGTATCCCCCTTTATCAGCCCAGTTTTGTATCACTGAGGCACTTAGTCAGGTTGATACTAACGCTTTTCCAACCCTATCTGCCATGTTTGATGACACAAATAACAATAACACTTTTACGGATAGTGTCCGGCAGGATTTTTGTTTTGCTTGCTGTCTACATGAATTAATTCCGGAGTCGAGCATCGAGGGATTACTTGGGGAAATTACCTATCAGAATTTACCCCAGGACGGTCGGTACGCTAAAGAGAAGCTTGTCAGGGAATGTACCAGTGATCCTGAAAGGATCCAACGATTGATTGGAGAATTGGACAATATGGATGGTAACGTTGGGGCGGTATGCCAGGCTTTAGCGGAGGTAAGTTTCTAACCCATAACACATAAAATGGCTGAAAGTTAAGAATTTCGTTAGGTTATCGGTCGTCTTTGTCACAATAAGGAGACGATGACCCTGAAGCTTCTTTGCAGTCAGCTGGCTAAGAAGCCACTATCACTAGATGTGATGCTTCTCTTCGATAGACCGATAACCATGCTGCATCCTCTATGTGAGCTACTCGATAATTGGCGATACGAGGAAGATCAAGGAGAATACCAACCTGTCTATGAGGAGTTTGGGTCAGTACTTCTTCTGGTGCTGGCGTTTGCCTACCGCTACAATCTTTCTGCCACGGATCTAGGTATTCGGTCACCAGACTCGTTTGTGGCCAAGTTGCTGGGTGTTGGCCAGCCTAACAAGCCGTTTGACGAACTAACAGACCAAGAGAAAGGACATCTTGACGGTTGGATACATGGTCTTTTTGATACCGAATCCGGCGGATTGGCAGATGAATTGTTGTCTTCGTGTCCTCCACAGGACTTCTATCTACTTGTACCCACGCTATTCCACAACATTGTTCTTGCGTTTAGCACAGGTCACCTCGACGAAGAAAGCCTCAAAACAGGTGTTGAATGTAAGTTAACATGCAATAGTCGCTTAATAGGGATGCTAACATCAAATCAGATTTGGCCAACACATTCCTACTCCCATCCCTTGTGCCAGCAGCTATACACATGTCTAATCAGCTGTGGACGGAACTGAACCACGGGCCGGAACACAAAGCAATCATCAGGATTTTGGAGTTGATCCTACTGACCAAACAGGGTTCCAGTGAAGCGCAAACGATGCTGTCCTCTGTGGTGAACATCATTGCGACGCCACTAGAGTACTCTTTGAGATCGTATCAACGCTTCGACCCGAAGTGCCAAACTGTAGAACCTCTGCTCAAGGCAATGAGAGATAATATTCGACTCTCACGAAGAACAGCTAGTGCTGCTAGCAACGAACTAGAGGCATGGGCTACTACCGCTAATGGGGGGTTTGCTGCATCCATTCGGCATACGGTACAGGGCTTTGTGGCGTGGAGTGTGCACCCAGGCTTGAACGTAATGCCTACATCGTACACGCACCGGCAAATCTTAGCTGCTTTGAAGATGCTCGGCGCAAGACGCCTATTAAACATAATCTTGGAAGAGGTGAAGCTACAGTCTGAAGCCGGTAATGGAAGTATCGCCCATGATGTGGCTACTGCCCTCGTGTGCGCTCCAGACGTAACCAACATGCCAGCACCACCTGAACTTTCACTTCTCATAGACTCGTCAAATCATCCCGTAGTACCTCCACAATTGCGGATCTCACTCCGGGCGGCGCTCAAGTCAGAAGCAGAAGACTGCAAGGCATTGCAGAAGTTGGACCCGACCATGGCCGAAATTGTCGTTCGCCTTTACCGGAAGGTTGAAGCACAAATGCTTATGCCTCCGCCCGAGACGATGCTACAAGGCGAGCTCGCTAATTTAGGCGCAGCGGCACTCGGAGACGCGTTAGCTGCCGCCGCTCAAAGCGAGGGTCTAGGCGCTGAGGATGCAAGCATGGGCTTAGACCTTGGAGGTGGTGGTAATGATATGGGCCATCTCGGCGGTCCGGGCGACTCAAGTCACCACGGCGGACTTGACTTCGGAGCCAGTGATGATATATTCAGCGGCCTTGGCGCGGGTGGAAGTGGCGCTGATCTCCTAGATAGCTGGGACATGTCTTAGTTGAAGTCACGCTTATAAGCGAAAGCATTATCCGTATAGTTATCGACTTGATTTTATTTGCGGATTATTTGTAGGCAAGCGAGGCGTTTTATGCACAAGAGGAAATCAGGTTGCATGGATTTATAAATTTCCTTTTGGATGAGGTTCGTGCGCTTGCGTTCGAGGGGCATTGAAGTGATGTCTCCAACGGAAGATAGCAGATGTTATTGCCTACCTGAATCTTATACTACAACTTTAGATGTTTTTGTCGTGTCTCCGTAGATCTTATGTACCTACGCTCCAGGCCCAGTGTACTGAGTGTAGGCGTGGATGATGTTAACTAGGTACCTACTAACCTAGGGGCTTGAGCACGCAATATAACCCCTGTATTTGGCCATTGAGGCGTCACCGCTCACCTTACTCAAATTGTAGGTGCCATTTGTGTTTTTTGGTAGTTATTATGGGGGAGATCTAACTAAGGTTAATACATTATACCGTACCGGTCCGAACCACAACGCTTTACATAAAAATGCCATCTCCACATACACGGATCTTCGTTATTGATTAAATTATGAACACCCTTCCCCTAAATTCCACTTCTTGGTCTTTGCATCGCGGCCATTGAATAGGTACAGTACCTATCTTATTACTGGCCAACATCAATCTCCCACGCAGAAATAATGCGCAGCGCGGAGATTATAGCCGCCCTGCTACAGGCGAGCGCGGTGGCAGGTAGTATCGGCCCCGGCCTCGTAGCGGCGCACCCGGGCCAGCAGGTCCCGCTCGGCTCAGCAGCACCAGTCTCGGGCCCGCACCGGCGCCAGCCCAACGTCGTGTTCATCCTCACCGATGACCAGGACGTGCACCTGGCGTCGCTGGACTACATGCCGCTGGTGAAGAAGCATCTGAGGAACGAGGGGACGTCGTTTAGTCGGCATTACGCTACGACGGCGGTGTGCTGCCCGAGTCGCGTGACGCTGTGGACGGGGAGGTTCGCGCATAATACGAATGTTACGGATGTTATTCCGCCTTATGGTATGTTTTTGAGGGGGTGGGGGATTTGTGCGGTGCTTGGAACTAACCCCCCTTATCTACGGTTTCATTATTTACCCAATCGTGTCCTGTATTCTTACTTCCAATCATAGGCGGATACCCCAAGTTCGTCGCAGAGGGCCTCAACGACAACTACTTCCCCGTGTGGCTCCAGGAGGCCGGGTACAGCACGTGGTATACCGGCAAGCTGTTCAACGCGCACACGGTCGAGAACTACAACTCGCCGGCGCCGGGCGGCTTTACGGGCTCGGTATGTGAAACCCCCAACTGCCAACGACCCCTTTACTCGTCACTTTATCTTGGATCTCATTATTCTCGATGCTCTCCCCATCTTGGACTTCAAGTAGGTATATAAGGCCATGAGCTAAACCCAGCCCAGGACTTCCTCCTGGACCCACACACCTACGATTATCTCAACAGCACGTTCCAGCGCAACGGCGAGTCCCCGCGCAGCTACGAGGGCCAGTACAGCACCGACGTGCTGGCAGAGAAAGCCTACGGCCTCCTCGACGAGGCCGTCGCAGCCGCGAAGCCGTTCTTCCTCGTCGCGGCACCAATCGCACCGCACGCCAACGTCGTGATGACGGGCAAAAAGGGGAAGAAGAACGCGGGCGGCCACGACTTCGGCGCGATCCTGTTTACGGAGCCAGTCCCCGCGGAGCGGCACAGGGGCTTGTTTAAGGGGGAGACGGTGCCGCGGACGGGGAACTTCAACCCGGAGCAGGCGTCGGGCGCGAACTGGATCCACGCCCTCCCGCAGCAGAACGCGACCAACGTCGCGTATAACGACCACTTCTACAGACAGCGCCTGCGCGCCCTGCAGGCCGTCGACGAGCTCGTCGCGGGGCTCGTCCAGCGGTTGGCGGACCATGGGATCCTGGAGGATACGTACGTGGTCTACAGCAGCGACAACGGGTTCCACATCGGGCAGCACCGGCTGCAGCCGGGGAAGAGCTGCGGGTACGAGGAGGACGTCAACGTCCCGCTGATTGTGAGGGGGCCCGGGGTGGAGAAGAATCGGACGGTCGACGGCTTGGTCACGGTGCATGCGGATCTGGCGCCGACGTTCTTCGAGTGGCTTGGTATCGAGGCGAGAGGGGACTTTGATGGCGCGGCGATACCGGTTACGAGGGAGAGGGTTGAGAGGGAGGAAGGGAAGGGGGAGAGGAGGGAGCATGCGGGGATCGAGTATTGGGGGCTTGCGTTTGGGGAGGGGATTTATGAGAGTATGTGCTTTGAACTACCTCTCACTCACCTCCGTCGCTGTTTATCTGCTTGGTGAAATGGTTCTTTTTTCAGGAGTCACGGCTAACATGGTACTTAACCAGGAAACCCCCGTGGCAATAACACGTACAAAGCCCTCCGCGTCTCAGGGCCGGGGTATAACTTGTACTACTCGGTCTGGTGCAACAACGAGCACGAGTTGTATGATATGAACGTGCGTACCTATATCCTTTCCCTCTCTCCCTCCCTCCCTCCCTCTCTCTCCAAATAGTTACTTTTTCATATCATTACCACCTCAATACTAATAAATGAACAGGTCGACCCCGGCCAACTCCACAACCTCCTCTCGCCCCCCTCCCCCCTCACCAGCACCTCCCTCCTCGCCGCAGGCCACCCCGTCGACAAAGTAGCTTCGCGCCTCGACGCGCTCCTCCTCGTCCTCAAAACCTGCAAGGGCGAGCCGTGTCGCCGCCCCTGGGCGCAGCTGCACCCGGCTGGCGACGTGAAGACGCTTGCGGATGCGTTGGATGAGCGGTTTGATGGGTTTTACGAAGCAGATGGTGGTAGTGGGAGGGTGAGGGTGGAGTATGCGTTTTGCGCTGATGGGTTCTTGAAGGATGCGGAGGGCCCGACGTGGGAGGAGGATGGGAGGGGGTATGAGTATTTGAGAGAAGGGGGTGGGAGGTGGGAGGATTGGGTGTGAGGTTAGAACTGGCAGTGTATTTATTTTCCATATTTCCGACTACCAAGCCACAACCGCCACACCCCATGTTCCACTAGCCACCACTTGCGCACAGCTCACTCAGCTCCCACATTTAAAGTTTAGTGCGCTGAACTGTTGAACAAGACAGACACAAGACGATAAGTTACAGTGGAGTGGACCAGTGCGAAGTGGATATTCTTTTTTGACGCGAATCACACGTCATTGGCCGGTTGTCGAAATCCAGGGACCCATTCTTCCAATTGAGAATTGATTTGACCAGATTGCACACAACCCATCATTTTCCCTTCGGAAGGAACACATTTACTAAGGCAAAAGCTTCCCAACTTTAATTAATCCCGAACTTGAAGCTTCCCTCCTTCTTGTTAAACTTCTTTTTTTGTTCTTGTTGTTTCTTTTTCCTCCTCCCAATTGAACCCTTTTTCTTCTTCTGCTCTCTCAAGCTTTCCCTCCAACATCCCTTCACTTTCTTGTTCTTGCCGTCCTCGTCTCTGTTGCCCAGCATGGTGGCCCTCCGATACTCTGTCCTTGCCGCTTTGGCTCTTCGCCTTGTCTCCGTCTTCGCCGCTGAGGGTGATTCCGTAGGTTTATTCTACCCGTGTAGCAATCGGCTTTGTAATGTTAAAAGGAATTGGTTGCTAACTCATGTCCCGACTTCTTCAGCCTGTCGCCGATGATGCTGGTAGTCCTACGGACATCGAGCTGAATGCCCACCTTGTCGCCACCTTCCCCGAAGCCGAGGATATCTTTGGTGTCAAGCTAGTCAATGGCCGACCCACCAAAGCTGTCATCGACATTACCAACAATGAGGATGAGCCTATCTTGGTGGCCTTCGTTGGTGGCCAGCTCTTGAATCCCAAGGATAACGGTCCCAATGCCGACCCATCGAGCGCCGTGGTTCGCAACCTGACTTCCGTCTCCTACCAGGCGTCCATTCCCGCCGGCGAGAAGCAGTCCCTTCCGTACTCCTTCATCCTCGACATGCAGCCTCAGGATGTCCGCCTGCAGCTCATGGCTGTTGTGAGCAACTCTGCCAACCAGATCTTCCAGGTCGGTGTCTATGATCATACCGTTAGCATCGTTGAGGCACCTACCAGCATCTTTGATCCTCAGATGTAAGCACCTTCTTTTCCTTGCCTTATTCACCTGGAAAGAAAAACTCACATTATATTTCACAGCATCTTCCTGTACATCTTCCTGTTGGGCGCTTTCGCTGGTACCTGCTACTTCGTGTACAAGACCTACATCGAGGCTCTCTTCCCCCAGACCAAGCGTGCCAAGCCTACTGTCACCAAGAAGGTCCGCACCGTCCCCGCCGAGAAGGAGCCTCTCTCCGGTGGCGAGGGCTCCGGCACCGGTACCGACAACAAGGGCTACGACGAGAGCTGGATCCCGTCCGACCACTTGAACCGCCCGACCGCCCGACGCGTCAAGAGTGGCGCCAGCAGCAAGTCCAAGAACAAGAACGCCGAGTAGAAAAGACGTCTTGTGAGGGACATGGATGCTCATCGCGGCTAAGCAAGCAAGGCATGATATGGTTCCGGGGGCGAAAGAGCAGGACAGAGAAAGGAGTGGTAATGCAACAAACCCGTCTTTATATTATAAAGGATTGGACAAAACGTGTATTAATTTGGTGGGAACATTCCCATGACAGGACGAGAAAAGAAAAGAATTAAATGCAAATGCAAATACAAACGCAGCCGCAAATGCGGCATCTGTAGGTTTCACTGTTACATGTAAATATGTATGTCTGTGGTGGCCTGCTACATATGTATGCACCATGCCACCTCATGTTCAATGTTGTTTGTCATGTTGAATATGAACCCGGCTGTTAATGCACTGATGTAATACATAAGGAGAGGGTATCAATGCGAACATTGAATCAATCATGGAATAGGCATTGTGTGGAGTATTCATGTCGATATGAGTGAATGAATGAATGCATGCATGTACCTATTAAACCCTTTAATGTTGCACATTGCAATATTGACTAACATCCAGGTTTATATCATGAATTCTTGAGAGTGAAATTGAATGTTAAAGTAAAAGTGAAAGTGAACCCATCATGAGCGGCTACCAAAGGCGTGTGTCTAACCTAGTATACCTAGTTACCCAACAACATGAAGGTTTGGTTTGTATATCTTCTACCTAGTAACTATGCTCGTACATGCGTAGGGAGGCTTAGACGGTAGCTCGGTCGCTTACTGTTGAGTCTCGTAATACATGTAGGCAGCTTGGGTTCCTTCACAGTGAAAGTCTAGCCTATGTACTTATAAGTGCCTAATCTAACCTAGGTATGTAGGTACATATGTATTCATTCATACATGCATGTCTACCTGAGACCATGGATGACTACTGCATGGTATACTTCGTCGTTGCTAGTTGCATAAAGCCTAGGTATTTCGGACACCAGTGATTCTTGTTTTTGTGGGAGTGCGTGGGGGTGTTTTTGTTTCTTGTATACCTAGTATGCATGCTCGTAGCCGGATATGTGCTTGAGTTGACACAAGAATTTTGTCCGATATGCTTGATTCTGGGTTAGATGGTGCTACTTACTTAGCAAGGACGTCGTGGTTTCCAAGGTTGGCATCTGCTACGTTATCATGTTGGCATGAAACCGTCTGGATCGGGTCCGAGGCTGTGATCACACTGATATCATAGGATAGATGCGCAGTGTTTATCTGGTAGCAGGAACATCTCACAGTTCAAGGTCACTGTTTCAGTGCCTTCTTCCATGCACTTTTAACTGAATCTCATGGTTCGACAAGGAGGAACAGCGTAAGGCAAGATCGGACTATGACTGTCAAGATACATCATAGGCTAAGTCGGAATCTGTTAAGCGAGATTGTGGGAAACTCGGATTCTGAGTATGTGTAATTGACATCGGGGATGTTGAGCGTAACTGGTTGGTATAGGAAAAGTTGGTCACTGTGGTGAATGTTAAATGTTCAGTATGAGACAGGGTAGGCCAGGAACTTAAGAAAGGTTCCGTGACTCTGTATGTTCATCGGGGTTTTAAGGTACAAATCGAAAGTCCTCGAGAGACAAATTGCTGATTGTCATGTGGCTGGATTCGCATCGCGGCTCTAAGCCGTTGCGCAACGTATACCAAAGCTTCGTGATACGAGGGTTCAAAGTCTGAATAAAGCATGCTGTATACTCTGTGGATCATTCGCTGTCTATTACGCTTCCCGGATTAGGAATTATGTTCAGTGACATTGTCGGATACCAGAAAAAACAAGACGTAGGTATTTGCACAAGAAGAATAGGATAAGATGATCCGTAATGTTGTGTCTCTGGCGGGATTGGATTAGTGTCGTTTGAAACCGATGATAGTTAAACCTGTGTACGGAGAGTTCCAGTGGTAGTAACAGGAAACATATGAGTGAATAATAGAGTGAGCGGTTGAGGCGACGATAATATCGAGAGCAGCAAACTCATATCCTAAGAACAGAGTGAAAACAACATACGTGGCAGAAGAAGTGTATGGAACCTTACTTCCGCGGCTTCTACACAATTAGACATCCGTTGTTGGACGAAGTGGCCGAGGCATATCTGCCTCTCCACAATCGTCATAGAAACATGTCCAGTCATACGAGGAGTCATATAAGCCCGAGTTCTCCGAATGAAACATGAGCTTCAAGGCTACCTGATATGCCTAGCAGCCAACGGCGTCTATTAGCAGTTTATCGCTCTCCGAGCTTGCTCCTTGCGGAAATGTATGCATCGTTTAGTGAGAAACCGAACTACATAACGTCTTATCGAGCTTATACAGTTCAAGGTTGTTATTTTGAAGAATCTTCAGCCCGGGGTCTAGACGGGTCGGGTACTCCCGCCTAGCAACGGGATCATGTGCTGGCTGGCTGTTACAATTTCGTCTCATGTACCTAGCAAGTCTAATCTCAGACGAGGCGTCAGGCGACTAAACCGAGGCAAATGCCTCACACCGAGACGGGCGTTGGGCGTGTATCAGTTTTGAATTCTCTGCATTATGCAAGGAGACGCGGAGTTGAAGGGTTCAGACAAGTAAGCTCAAAGATTGACCTGCGAGTAAGATAATGTTGACGTCATTGATGATGAACTCCGCTGGCAAAGGGGGGCCTTATTGATAGAGTCAGGGAGTAGGAAATCGGCGAAAGAGAAAGGCCTACTTCGGGCATACTGGAGTCAAGAGCATCTAGGAGTCTCGGAATAAGGCTTAACCGGTAGGTCTCTGGTAAAAATTACTCACACAAACCCCTCTGGTTCAGCGGACCATCGTCTCCGGCCTTTGTAGGTACGGCGGCTATTGGGATGAGAAGTTCAAATGTTGAAGACGAAAAACCAGTCAGAAGGACAACTGTGGCTTGAACGTCAAAGAAACTGAGGCATCAAGCCTGGATGTGAACCCGCACCGCACATGCATGAGGCTTTCCGCACAGCCTCTTTAGCCTCTTTAGCCTCATTGGCCCCTCTAAGCCATACTAAGTATGATGTAGCTTCATCCTAAGTATGAGGCATGATCAGCGGGGGGCGACATGGGAAAGGCGAATCGAGATCATAATGATGAAATCTGTGAAATCTGCATTGGTCCGTGATTTTGACGCAACCTTGTTCTCCAAATCTATGTACATTGGTAAGTGCCAACTGCAAAGTGCTTCGTGCTTGCGGTTCTAGAACGGGAGCTCTCCACAAAATATTGCTCCGAAAGTCATGTTGTCATTGCGCATGTAGCTTAGCATAGATGAACCAATGATAGAGCTTGATGTCATATTTCCCCTGCAGCTCCTGGGACTTTCCTGGAGCAGAAGCTCCAAGCAAAATAGCATTTGATTGGCTAGAAGTTCCCAAAAAGGGAAACCGACAAGGGCATATGCATGTCAAGTCAGTTACCCCCCTTGTACCGACAGTACCGTACTGTATCCTTCTTTCGTACATTACTACTATGCCGTACATCCCCCACGATGGAAATCTATGGTACTATGTAGCGAATCTATGGTACAAACATATCGAACCTATTATGTAGTATCGTACCGGAATATTGAGGACCCTAGATGTTGATCATGATGAAATGCTAGGCACCCTAACCAACGAAATTGTCGAGTCAGATGAATACGGTAGTATTTGTGGTAATTTTAGATGGCAATTCACATGTCCCATATAATTGGTACTCAAGGTAGCCCCTCGGGCTTTAGATACTTGGGTACTTGATCAAAGTAGGTTCAATGCTTGATCAGACGGGCCCGAAGTTCTGTATCCCGTCTATAATAGGTGAGTGGTGATGTCAGAGTATCAGAAAATACACGCAGCCTAGTACCTATGTAACTTTCTGTATGGCAGGAGGGAATAACCGCCAAACACTTTCTGTGGAACAAAGGTTAATGGATGATGACGTCTTCTCGTAGTCCGCATGATGCACTCGGTGTTGTATTCACAGATTTATGGGTAAGCAACTTGGGCAAGGGGAAGGAACGAGAGCCAAGGTAAGGAAGGTTAGAGGCTCAACCTGGTGACAAATATTCCCCTCAACCTTCTATATAAGACTATTCATCTTCCTCCTAAATTCAACCCTTTTTTCTCCTTCATCAACAATCATATTAACAGATCAATACTACTACAATATCAACTTTTTCAAACATACAAATTACCAACCAAACTACCTTCATCATGGACAAGATTCAGAACGCCGCTAACTACGTCTCCGACACCGTCAAGGGAGCTACCAACACTGCTTCCAAGGAGGCCAACAAGGAGGTCGCCAAGGACAACAACGCCAGCATTGGCACTCGGTAAGCTTCATTCACAACCACTTTTATTATCTTTTCATGCCTTCTTACTAACATTCTCTTCAGCGCATCCGCTGCCAAGGACGCCGTTGGTGACAAGGTCGACGAGACTAAGAACAACACTTCCGCCGATGTCAACAAGGAGGCTTTCAAGCACTAAATGCTTCGTCTCTTCAACAACAACTATCAAACAAAACTCCAACAACATGATTGTACGAATGGCATGATTTGGGGGGAAACATGATTACACTTGGGCGTCTAGGAAACAGAGATTCGGGCCTTTTCCTTTGTTAAATGTGATGGCAAATGGTGACGGGCTTGATGATCTACTAGAGATCATGGCTCGAGGCAAGCTTACAATACCCCTAAGATAGTTCAGAATTCAAAGCTGCAATTCATCGTCCACTTAATATGTCTTCTGAAGTGAATCTAATACTCGTTAGAATGTGCCTTAATGTATATCTCTTGACTTAGCTTCATGTACTGCTGATATTTTTTTACAAATACATCAAACGTCCTTTCCACTTTTAAAGTACAACAACCGTTTGCCATTATGGTCAATTAGCCCCCAATTCCCCCATCATCTCCCTCCACCCCACCCTCCTCCCTCCATCACCCTCCCCATCAGCACCCTCAAAATTTGAACTAATATCGTTGTCATTTCATGGTGCAATTTGTTTGTGTGTTACTCACGTATCTTCCCGAATGCTAAAGATAGATGCTTCTGAAAGCGAAACTTTGTCCATGAACGAAAGCAGGTAATTAACGAACATCTATCATTCAACCCTGTTATCATCCGCTTATAGCAACATACCAAGGAACGTGAAGGCCATCTAGATACGAACCATCGGGAGAAGAATCAAGTCGAGCTTCCAGCGCACTTTGGAGGCTTCCGCTTTGGTATACTGAAACACATCCTCGCTGCTGGCAAACAAGTCGGCTGCATCGTCGTGGTTGGTGTTCTGGATCGCGCCTTTGATATCAGCCGTATACGCCTCCTCGACATCGGGGTCGTGCGGCGCTCTCGCGATATCCTCACGTGCAGGCGCATTCGCCGATTCCTTTTGGGTCTTTTCGGATTCAACCATAATTAATTGTGAGGCCTTTAGGACTTTTCAAGACGATTAGGGCAACGGAAACGAGGCGGGGAATTTGTTGTCTGTCTGTCTGTCTGTCTGTTGGTTAGAAGATCCCGATTTAACAGGAAGACATCTACGGACTTATGCCTTAAAAGCATATGTATATCACGAACATAGAGTAAGGATCCTGAATGTGCTTATCGTTGCTCGTCAAACGAACCGGTTGTAGAATACCAGCATCGGCCGGGGTGGCGAGGACAAACACTCCTTATCAAGTCTCATCGCATGATGATTTTCCATTGTCTAGCCCCTGACATCGCCAACATGGCCGAATTAGGCAATTTTCACAGTTGAGTCCTCGTGTCGTAGGAATCGTGTGAGAGGTTGCTCGGCTTAAACGGATCAGCCATGGCGAGTATAGGAGCGTCATGGACAGTAGATATAGCTGGTGGTTCGGCACTAATAATTGTTCTTATCATTCCATTTATCTTCGCAAATCAAATATACTGTCCACTATCTCAACTGATATAATCACCTGAGTACCTACCTAGTCGTCATGCTCATCCACTAGAACCTGCCCTCACCTACGTACCAACATGTCGTTGTTAAAGGACTACCTTACGAGCGCGGCGTGTCTTACGGCGAACAAGCAGGACCCAAAGTCCGGGCCAATATCAAATACTACACAAGACCAGGAAAACTAGCCTCCGCGTAAGTCTTGAAGCCCCTTTCCTACTCAAAATAGAAAAGAAATGCAGTTGTAATATGCAAATAGGGCTTTGATGGAGCACATCATCAAGGAGGTGTACATCCCTGCCATACACCAGTTATTACCCTAGTGGCCTAGAGGAAATGCGTGGCATTGCCGATGGCGCGGGAGTTACGCTAGAGGACATTGTGCTGCTCAACGCACGGTACGATCTTGCCAGAATCGATGAGCCCGAAGATGAGCCCAATAATGGCACTAACGGTACCAACGGCATTCACCACGACGAAGACGTGGCAAACGAATGCACAAGCGCCTTCTTCCTAAGCCAAACCACCGCAAGCGGCAACGTGTTCAACCCGCAAAACTGGGACATGTCCGCGCGCCTCTGGCTCACCGACGCCATCGTCTACCTATAAGTACACCTAGACCCGTCCTAACGCAAGCCCTCCATGTTCCTCGTGGCGGAAGCCGGGCAGCTAGGGCGGTCAGGCATGAACTCGTTCGGCACCGCCGTGACTGCGAACTCGCTCATGTCGACCGGTACCCGGGGGGCAGCAGCTGGTTCCGGCGCTCGCGGCTGCAGCAGCGGGTGCGCTCTCCTGCTGCCGGGAGGGAGATAAGCGTTGAGGGTGTGGTGCAGGCGCTGAGCGACCACCTGAGCTACACCGAGGCGCTGTGCGACCACCCGGACGACGCGCCGGTCGATGCGGTGATAAGGCATTTGCCGGGGTACCCGTTCCGCAGCTCGTCGGCGACGGTCGCGTGTGTGCTGTATAATGTGACGAAGCGCCAGGTCACGGTGTGTAAGGGCCCGCCGTGCCAGGGGGTGTTTGGGACGTTTGAGTTGGGGGGAATGGTGGAAAGGGGTGATATAGAGAATATATTTGCATTTCAGGTATTATAGTTAGGTATTTCTTTCCTTTTGATTTTGTAGATATTGTATACATTGATCAAGATCTTACTACTTATCTCAAATTTCTCCTCAGTTCCTAGATAAAAAGAGCAAGTGGAAGGAAGGAAGATAATTTACTGGATCAAATTCATCTCGAACTTTCTTACGTACCTAGGCTGTTAAGAATGTCTTGAGATGTTCCATATACCTCTCCCGTTGATCTACATGGGACATGTGCGCCGCATTATCTAGCGTAATCCACTTCGCCTTCGGAATGTGATCGAAAAACGGCTGCATCGCTACATCCTGAGCCTCATCCTGGGCGCCGTTGATCAAAAGAGTAGGCACTTTGATTCTGTGCAGTGACGGTATGCAAGTCCAGTCGCGAAGCGAGCCAGAGATGTAGAGCTCGCTTGGACCGTACCTATTGTCCGCGTTAATAGGGGATTGTGCATCTCGGAACTATTACTCACATGGTGCCGTAAGTTGTCGCATCTTTGGCAAACCAGTCCAGCGCAGCCTGAACCTCCGGCATAGGCCACGGTCTCGCAAGGCTAAGGTGTCGCTTGTAGAAAACTTCCACCGCAGCTTCGTACTCCGGGCTTGCAAAGTCCTGCTTCTCTTCCGAGCGATCGAGCACTTCCTGGATATCTTCCGAGAGCTTGTCTCGCAACGCTTTGATCCCAATTCGCCATACCTCCATGCTTGCCAGACTATTCGAAAGCACTAGACGTCGGAGAGACACCGGGCTCGGCGGCGCCGCTGCCCACTCGGCCGCGAGCATGCCGCCCCATGAGTGTCCGTATACATCGACGGGCCGATTCCTAAGACCTAGGTGGGAGAGGAGGTTGTCAAGCTCGTTCTTGAACAAGTCTGTAGACCAAAAAGCTTCGTCGCCGTTTTTCTCGGGGAGGTGCGTCGAGCGCCCGTTCCCGATTTGATCGTAGAATACCAGGGGCTTGGAGGGTGCGAGGTCGGTTAGCGGTAACAGGTACTCGTGGCATGCCCCTGGACCGCCATGTAGCACGATTAGGGGAGGTTCGGGCGACGACGCGAGGTCGCCGACGACTTTGTACCAGGTTTGGCACGGCTCGGGGAGACCTGGAATAGCAAACTGTACGGTGCCCTCCGTCATTTTTCGGGTTTGTGGCAAAAGAGGAGAAGAGAGTGTTGCGGTACGGCCGGGAATAAACCAGCCAGGTGCCTACTTGGATATTTATGTAAGCCTGCTGCCTGCAGCCTGGCTATGTTGTCGTCTGTATTGTACCTAGTACTAGGTACTGAGTGGAGACATAAGTACCTAGGTACCTAGATCTGAAGCCTTATATGTAAGGCAGCAATATCACAACCCTCACCGGCGATACCATTTCTCCTGTACCGAGTACCCTCCCCAAGGTACCTCTCGACCGAAGTTAAACTTATAGGTCCCCGGAAAGCAACATCTCTCACTCCCTGGGTGAGAACTCGGGTACCTGAGTTTTCAACCTAGGTTGGCTCAGTGGTAAGGTGCGAAAACCACCAGGGCTCCCCAGAAAGTGCGGGTTCAGAACGAAAACCACTGTGGGACGCCCGAGGGTGCGGGTTCAATCCTACCACAAACCTTTTTCTTTTTTTTTTTTTTCTACAATTCTTTTTGGAATTGAACACCACCACTTATAAAATGAAGCTATTCATACTTGACGGTCGTCCCATTTATTTATGTAAACCCCTATAATTACTATTAGCGCCGAGAACAATTATTATATATTTAGGCATCACATAACTACATTAATATCATGCACTCTTATCGTTCTATCATGCTTAAGGGGTTACCAGGGTGACCAGGGTTACTTAGTTACGCATAATTTCCGTTTCCACCTTCACCTTCTCCACTCATCTTCAATTCTCCAACTGGCCCAGACTTAACCAGACTTATTAATTAACACTTAACACTTTCTCAACACACACATGCGTGCACTGTACACACAACACAGCCTGTCTTGAACGCACGCGACCGATCATTTTGCTTATCCTCTTTATCAATTGATTTGACTCAAACTTCCAAAATGTCTTCCTTCAAGGGCTCACAACCCCCCGATCTATTCGACCAGACCACACTCGTCTCACTCGCGTCCACGCTCGCCATCCTCGGGGCCGCCTACCTCCTATCCCTCCAGGCTCTCGACCAAAAGACGTCCAACAGCCATCGCTTCCTCTTCATATGGCACGCCTTCGATGCCCTGATCCACTTCATTCTCGAGGGCAGCTTCCTCTACCACTGCTTCTTCTCTTACATGCCGCTCTCCAACGTGTCCAATCCGCTGGCCCTTGCGCCCACCGCGCATAACTTTTTGGGTTACAACAATCGCGCTTACGGCCCCCAGGCTGGTGGTAACAATCCGTTCGCGCAGCTATGGATGGTGTATGCGAAGGCTGACAGGCGATGGGCCGGGGCTGACCTGGTAAGCTACCTACCTCTCCATTCTTTTACTATGCAATATTACTCAAGTACATCCCATCACTAACGCGCCCTTCCCTAGTCCGTCATCAGCCTCGAGCTCCTCACCGTCTTCGTCGCCGGCCCTCTCGCCTGCTACATCTGCTACGGGCTCGCGAAGAAGGACCCGCGCACCAACATCCTGATGATCGTCGTCGCAACCATGGAGCTCTACGGCGGCTTCATCACCTTCTGCCCGGAGTGGCTGACCATGAACTACCACCTCAACGCGAGCAACTTCATGTACAAGTGGGTCTACCTCGTCTTCTTCAACATGCTCTGGGTCGTCATCCCCGCCTACGCCGTCTACGTCGCCGTGCTCGACATCAACGACGCGCTGGCCGTGCGGACGCGCTTGGCCGCCGCCGTCAAGACGACGGGGAGCAGCAGCCGGAAGACCCGGTGAATCCCAGTGGTGCCGCATAGACGGCTGGGCTTGGATTTGGTCAACCCGGTGACGCTGTTCACTAAGGGCTTACGCATGAGCAAACGAGCTATGGGCAATGCAATGGATAGGTAGTTTGATGTTGATGATGAAGACAAGATCGAGGCAATATTGATTGATTGATCCTCCGGTTGCGGTGCGTTACGTGTATCGGTATGTAGATGTGTGTTTATCTACACGTTACAAATATGATACCCATCTTACCTTCTACGTAGTATTTAGAGACGTGTTTATGAAATATAGATTTGGTTTCGATAATGACTGAAAGGATTTCATGTGACCTGAGTCTCACCTGATTTTCATCTTCATTAATATTTAATATTTCGGCATGTTGGTATATACTACTATGATGGAATATATCTATATACCAGGTACCTATCTAGGCCAGTGTCTCAAAAACAACTACAAGTGTATAACGAAGTCTTTATACCATGTCCCGAGACGATCCTGAACCTCCCCCCTTTTTCTCCTTTCTCCATTTCCCCCTTTTTCGAAGAAATGACTTAAAACCCCTCAACATACCTAACCTACGTATGTAGCTTACTGTCTTGCTGAACTTCATTGTACCCTCATGATACCATCTCAGCTTAGTTACCTCTGTCCAACCCCTTCAAAACCCACCTATCTATGCGTCCAACTTTCGAATACCTATATATGCCCCTTAAAGCTTCCGCCAACATCCTCTTTCTCCCCTCTTTCCTTTTTATAAAACTTCTCCTAATCATGATAACCTACATACATTACCTCGCTGGTATTGTTGCTAACACATCACGCTCACCACCATGGTCACTTATATATATAGAAGCTAACAAAAACAACGATGAACCAACCTATCGTTCACGGTTCAAAAACAATATCTATTGTTTTTTTTTTAATTTTCTTTTATTATCAATATTGTACGTATGCCTGAAACAAAGCTGGTAAACATTCACCGAAATGCCCTCACCTAGGAAACCCTAACTAGACCCATTTTGCAGCACGTTTTATATACCTAACCTTTGCACCATCCATGCCTTCAATAGCCACATCTTCAAAACCTCGCCACCGCAATGAAACCCAGGGTACCTACCTACCTACCTACCTGGTTGGTTGGCTGGTTGGTTGGTTGCCGTCGTTCGCCTGTCGCTTTTTACAATGTGGTCGACGACGAGAAACCACCTGTACTCCCGTTCCCCCCGCTCCCGCTCCCGTTCCCCCCGTTCCCATTCCCCACGTTCCCCCCGTTGCCCCCGTTCCCGTTCCCATTCCCCCCGTTCCCATTCCCATTTTGCCCACCCCCGTTCCCATCCCCCCCGTTCCCAGCGTACCCCTCCCTCGCCAACATCCACCCGAGCTCGGTCCCCGGCGCGTTCTCGCGCACCCTGTCAATCATCATATTGACGACGTGCTCGGAGTTGGGGCCCCACGCGGCGGCGGCGGTGAACAGCGCGCGCAGCTGGTGGCGCGCGTTGAGGGCGTTGCCGTGGAGGGAGGCGACCTGCTGCTCGAGGTGCTGGACCGTGTCGATGTCGAGCATGGGGTGGTCGTGGTCGTGGTTGGGCTGGGGGTTTGGCTGCTGGGGGGTTGGCTGTGGGTTGGGATTGGGGTTGGCGCCGAACGGGTTAGGGGGGTTCGCGTTGTTGTTGTCGCCGGGGTTGGCGAACGGGTTGGGGGGGTTGGCGTTGTTGGTGTCGCCGGGGTTGACGAACGGGTTAGGGGCGTTCGGGGTCCCGCCAGATGGAAGGGGGTCCCAGTGGATCTGCGCTCCGCAGCCCTGGCCCGTTTGGAACAGCACCATCAGTGGCGGTGGCAGCCCCGCCGCCGCTGCACCCCACAGCTGGTTTGGGCCTGGGTTTGGGCCTGGGTTTGGGTTTGGGCTTGGATTTGGGCCTGGGTTTGGGTTTGGGCCTGGATTTGGGCCTGGGTTTGGGTTTGGGCCTGGATTTGGGTTTGGGCTTGGATTTGGACCTGGGTTTGAGTTTGGGCCTGGGTTTGGGCCTGGGTTTGGGTTTGGGCTTGGATTTGGACCTGGGTTTGAGTTTGGGCCTGGGTTTGGGCCTGGGTTCGGGTTTGGGTTGTTGTTGTTGTTGCGGTCCCGGTCCCGGTTGCGGTTGCGGTTGCGGTTTCGGTTGTGTCGGCCGTTCCGATGCCGGTCACCGGCCGTGTTGTCGTCCCGGTCGCCGTGGCGCCGGTTTTGGCGGTGGCCGTTGCGGCGCGGTGGCATCGCTGGCCCTTCATAGCGATGATTGTTCGACCCTTGGTTGTTGCGGCCACTCATTTTTGAGGTGTTAGTTGTGTGTTTCTGATGGCTTTCTTGCCTAGGTACTTTTTTCCTTTTATCTTTAGAGATGAAGAAACTGTTGTTCAAAGCTGTCAAAAGCTGACGAGTTGTGATTCGTTTGATGATGGGAAATAAAAAAATACAGACAATACCCCGGGGTTTCTATTCCTATATACATCGCTAAACATACCGCGTATCTGAGGCCACTCATTTTGTTCGGCTATGCAGATGATATTTTCAGCTGTTTCCATACGATAGCAGCTATATACCTGTGTACCGTGTCCGACTGATTTGTTCCATAACCGAGCATTGTTTTTATCGTTATTCTCGGCACCCCCCTCCCCCCTATCCCAATGCCAGCACGATATTTCGTGGTTCTTATAATATTTCTGTAAACCATTGCCACTATCCCTCATACCCCCTTCGCTATATCGGAAGGATTCAAGTTTATACATAAATCATGAACACATACCTTCCTTACCACACGACCAACTCCAAGGTCATCCGTCCAAAATTGTATACTACCTATATATAACCCAGCCACCTATCCACCTACCCAAGACCTACCTTCTAACTTCAACAACCAAGGTCAGCTTGGGAGTTGGGCAACGGTACCTATATATGGAGGTACCTAAATCTGAGAATCCCATCCCTAAGAACAACCGTCTTATCGACTGGCAGAGTAAAAGAACAAGTTCAGTAGGGAGGTAGGTAAATAGGGGCAGCACTGTAAACTCCCACCCGCGTAGCCAGTACCATGGCCGCAGCCATTCGTACAAAAGATCACATCCCTTACAAAGAAATTGCTCATAATTTCCCTGCATTCTGCAGCTTTGGTAGACTTGTCATATTCATGACAAGCACTTGTGATAGGTACCTAGGCAAGAGATATATTGTACGATACTTATCATATTCGAACACACGGATAATCTCCACTAACAGCAGTATTAGGTACCTACCTACCTACCTAGTAGGCACTCTGTCTAAGGGGCCCCTTTCTCTTCTGGTCTGGAGCGAGTTTTATACCTGCTAGGTACAAACTGCTATCGTCATTTACGGTTTACTTCTACAAAGGTCATGAGATTGGCATATTTCACTTCACTTTACTTTATACTAATCGTTTACTGGTATAATATGTAATCAATTAATTACTAACCCCATCCCACCAGTACCTAGCGGTGATATTTCCCATCGCACCACCTAACCTTACTGTAGTAGTAATAGAAAACAGATGGGTAGAAAAGACATCGATGTCGACATTAACATCGAAGAGGATGAAGCTATTTACTTGTTGCCCCCTTATGATCGAAAGGTATTCAGCACTCAGTTTCTCACTTCCATTCTGAAGGCCACTTAATGCCTATGTCGAATGCAAGCTTTTGATCGGTTGGTCGGTTAATTGGTTGTTGGTATGGGGGTCGGGGACTGCGATTGACAGTTTCCATACTAAGATATCATATGCCTCGTGGTCGTGAACATCGTGAATTTTTCCCTGCTTGCCGCATCCCTCAACGCCGTAATTAAAAAAGTTTCCTCACAGGATGCTATTACCTATGAGCCTCAAACGTCGCCCGTTATAGAATTTCTTTCAGCTGGGCCTTCTGTTGCGGCGTTAAACTCGTCGGGAATTTCACGTTATACTTGATAATGAAGTTGCCCCGCTCGCCTGGCTTCTTCGAGATCGGCATGCCCAGTCCAGGATAAGTATCTGACGTGCCTGGGCCTGTAGGTCCGCTCTTTTCTATGTTGAGTTGCTTTTTCTCGTCAATTGTTGGCACTGTGCGTCTCCAGCCAGTCAGGGCCTCCTTCAGGTCCAGGTTGATGGTGTGATACAGGTCATCGCCGTCGCGGGTGAAGAGCGGGTGTGTTTTCTATTGGAACCATTATGTTAGTATTCGTATGATCAATCAAATCTTCTCAGATTGGGATGATAGGTAGCTTACCTCTTCGACGATGAAGTGTAGATCTTGTTTGCCGCCCTCTTCTTGGTCACCAACACCCTTGAACTTGATCTTGCTGCCCTTCTTCAAACCGGGCTTAATAGGAACTTCAAGGACCTGATCAGTAGTGGTTCTCTTGCCCGTTTCGTCAAAGGTCTTTCGCTTTATCTTCATCTTCTTTGTGGTGCCGGTGTATATTTCCTCTAAACTAAGAGGTAGGGCCCGTTCGACGGTTGTAACATCGGGTGTGGCCTCTCTTGCTCCACTAGAGAACGGGTCTCCACTGCTTGCAAAGTTGTTGCGCGTGCGGGTTCGACCACCTGAACCTCGAGGCATGCCACCACCACCCCTCGCAAAGAACGCATTGATATCGGGGTCTTCGTCTTCTCGTCCTAAGCCACTGCTACCGCGCATGAACTCGGCGAATATGCTTTCCGGGTTGCTGAAAGCAAAGGGGTTACCCCCACCATTGCCACCGGTGCTGAAGTGGAAGGTCCGAGTACCTCCACCACCACCTCCTGGCATGCCACCACCGAAATCGAAGCCTTGGAATCCACCAGGCATTCCACCTTGAGCTCCAGAAGCAAATGGATTATCAGGAGATGGCGCGGAGCCACCGCGGAGGAGGAACTCGAGCCCATATTGATCATATGTCTTTCGCTTTTCGGGGTCGGAGAGGATCTCGTAGGCTTGGGAGCACTCTTTGAACTTTTCGGAGGCGGAGGGGTTGTCCTTGTTCTTGTCGGGGTGCCATTTTAGTGCTGCCTTCCTTTTTCAGTTGTTAGTATGCTATATTGTAAGAGTTGGAGAACAGGATATAAGTAACGGGAAAGGTAAAGCAATTTAAAAAAAAAGAAAAGAAAAGAGGGCAATGCAAGTGAATGTGTGGAATATAGATGCAAGGTATGAAGTGGGGTAGACCTACCGATAACCCTTCTTGATTTCATCTTGAGTAGCATCTGGCTTGACGCCGAGCTGTTCGTAAAGTTTTGTCTCTTTCACCATTTTGAATGGTATCGAATGAGTATGTGTGATGTTGCGTTTGTAGTGAAGATTGCTAGTATGTGGGATTTAACATTCGACGGGAATTGTTGGTGTTGATGGGTCGATCGATGGTATTCTTGATCTTGAATTTTTTTTTTGTTGATGGATTGAATGCTAAGGTTTTGGGTTTGATAAAGGAAAAAAAAGAAAGAATAACAATGGAAGTTCCTTTTGTCGTTTGGTTATTTACTTAGGAATTGTGTGCAAACGCAATGAGAAGCTTTTGGGCGTCACGTACTGAACCGCCGCTTTTCTCTTTGTTGGTGGGTATGTTGGTAGAAGATTCGGGAATTGGCGACGAGTAAATGAGGGAGAGGTGGGTTTGAAGTGACGTTTTTAGTTTGGTGGACAGTGGAGGACAGTGGTGGACAGTGGAGGACAGTGGTGGACAGTGGAGGACAGTGGACAGTGGATAGTTAAGTGGAAACGATAAGCTCAAGGTAACCCAACATGTAACTGCCAAAGTAACCTACGTACCATGTACTTACCGGGGTCCCCGTGGTACATAGCTCAATGATGTACATACTAGCAGTTGCGCTGCTCACCCTGCGGCCCCTTCCATATTCCTTAACGTTAATTGTAACTTATGACCTGGTAGTCAGTGGTAGATGCCCTAGGAATGAATCCTTGAAAGGACTAATAAAAAAGCGCTGCATGTGGATGTCCTTTGATCGAAATAAGGTTACGTCAGATCAGGTGACAAGCTATCTACAGTAGTACCTCCTAGATACAACTAGACACAACTAAACACAACTACATATACACAAAGCTCGAGTATCCTAGAACCAGTGAGAAACAACCTGATCATTGGAGGTCATTCTCTGGCACTGCCACTTATCAATACTGGAATTGATTGATCAAAAAACCTGATTGGCGTACCTAGGACCTAACAATGACCAGACTTCTCGCCAGTTGGTGGCTGACTGATTACCTATGTGTTGGAAATACGACAGCGACCACAGCAACATGCCTATCCTTTATTGCTTCCTCTACTACTATACATACATCCTCCTCCCCTAATCCAATCCAAGGATGTGGGGTTAAGCGCGGGGGGGTCACGATACGGATTAAGGGACTTTGCAAAGCGGGTGTTGGGGCGATTGGATGGATGGCCGCCCGCACGAAACGAATCGTTGGTTTCTGCGTGTACATATTGCGCATATCCTAAACTACAGGTGACATGCCATAACTGATCTAATAATGAATAATTTCAAGGTATGAGAAGTGAAATACTACCATGGGCTATCCATCTCGTGATGTGTTTTCGTCAGTCTCCATTGCCGGCTGAGCAACAATGTAATGCTGTCTCACCTCGGGACTACAGTACCTATTGGAAGTACAGGATACATCTGTATGCGCAATGGTACATACATACATCAATGATTACCGTATGTAGGGTATGTGCATACAGTGATGAACTTTTCAATGTTGAGTTTGAACTTTCAATTATTAAAGTTGCTGGAACATTCCAGAAATTATAGTACTTCTAAATTGTACCCGTGTAAATGTGGATACGCATGCACTGTACCTAGTACCTATACTATTCTCACTTCGAAACGGAGTGTTACGCCCCATAAGTTGGCTGTAAAATAACATAAACTTTACGAAAAAAAATTTGCAACATGCGTTTTTTTTACAATATAATCTGCGATATCTTAATTAATTTAATTTATAAAAATGTTAAATTAATTTTATATTAAATATCTTATTATGCGTAATATAATTATATTTTTTTTATGGAAAATACGGCCGATAAAAGTATTTTAACGTTAAAAAAACGGTTTAAATCGGCACTTAAATCGATACTTTATAACACGCGTTTTTTTTATAATATAATCCACGATATTTTAATTAATTTAATTTGTAAAATTGTTAAATTAATTTTATATTAAATATCTTATTATACGTAATATAACCGTATTTTTTTTATGGAAAATCCGGCCGATAAAAGCACTTTAATGTTAAAAAAGCGGTTTAAATTAACGTTTAAATCGGCATTTAAATCGATATTTTAAAAAAATAACTAACCTTTTATATTAAAAGCTTAACTATTAAGTAAACTACGTTTTTCTTTAAAAAGGATATATATCGATAAATCTTTTAATAAGAATTTTATTATATCGCTTTAAATAATGTTTTTTAAATAAACAGCCTTTAAAATATAAAGTAAAAATACTTAAAACATTAATACTTATATAAAAGTAATAATAAAATAATATATTATAATTATTAAAAAGCTTGCCGTTAGGAAGTTTATTATTAAAAAGTTTGCCGTTAAAAAGCTTATTATTAAAAAGGTTATTATTAAAAAGTTTATTACGAGAAAGCTTATAATTATTAAAGTAATTAAAAAAAAAATATTTTAATAAAAAAGGTTAAAAACATTAAAGTTATTAACGAAATAAGCGATAAAACGGGAGATAATAATATATTTATTAATATTATTACTTATAAAAAAGAAAAAAAAAAGCTAAAAATTAAAAAAGTTAAAAAGAATTTTAAACGTATTTTTATATAAATAAAGTTAACCTTTAAAACCTTCTCTTTTATAAGTTAAATTAAGCTTATTAAAAAGTTTAATAAAATATATTTATTATTTATTAAATAACGTGTAATTTAAGTCGATAATATATTTAATTTATTTATATAAATTAATTTATATTAACGAAAATTTTACAATATTAATTTATATAATAATATTAAATATAAAGTTATTAGCTTTATATTTAAATAATTAAAATAAAATTATAAATAATTATTTTTTTATATAAAAGTTTTAATAAGTAAAAAATTATAAATTTATATTAGTTTTATATATTAAAATATTTACGTATTTATTTAATATTATTTATACGACGATATAAATGAAAATATTATTTAAAAGGCTTTTAATTTAATAAGGCTTCCTTTTTATATAACGTTAACCTATTTTTTTAAACTTAAAATTAAATAAAAAACACTTTTAATTTCGATAATAATATTTACATATTAAGGGGTATTATCTTTAAATCGATTTACTTTTATAAAGAAAAGTATATATATACCTTAAATAATAATAACACCTTAAATATAATTAAGTTATAAACGTAATATATTTAATCGTACTTTTATTATTATTATTAAAATAACTTTTTATAAAATAACCGTTACTCCTACCACATAAAATAAAATTAAACATCCATTTATACTTACTTTTAATATATAAAAAGCTTATAATAAGCATTGGAATATATATAAAATACTTTAATAAATAATTATTTATTAAAAAGGAAAAAAATATAAAAATTATATTAAATAATCACTATAATATTATTAAATTAAAAATAATATTTTTTATTATACGTTACTCTTTAATTAAATTTATAAATAATTTAAAAATATTTATTACGGCAAAAACACCTATTATAACCCTCTTTAATGGTTAATAATAAACTTTATAAAAAAAAAGCAGTTAAAAACAATTAAAAAAACTAGGTTTAACATTATTAATAAATAATAATAAAAAGGTGATTTTTTTACTTAATTAAGTTTTTAAACTTTTAAAAGAAAGTATAAATATATAAACATTAATATTAATTTTAATAACATCGAAAATATTATTATTCACACTTATAACCATATAAAAAAAAACTTATTAAAAAAGTTTATTAAAATAATACCTTATTTTTAATTTAATATAATTAAAACTATCTTATTTAACTATTAAAACTCGGAATTAATAAATTTATTACCATTTTTACCTTTAAAGATATTATTATTATAATACATTTCTTTAATAATTTTACCGATTAAGAGCTTTTTTTTATCGATTTTAAAATTAATTAATAATAAAACGTTATTTAAAAACCTTATAAAAGGTTTTAACTACACGATTAACGATTTATAAAATATTAGGAAATTATATAAAACTTTTCTCGCAAAAAATATTTAAGTTATTATTATTTATCACCTTAATAATTAATAATTTATAAATAAAAAAATATCATATATTATATATAAATAACTACACTTTTTTATTAAATAATTCTTAAAAATTAAAAAAATGTTAGTTAATATATTAAATATAAAACCATTTAAAACTTAAAAAGCATTACGTATAAAATCCGTATTAACGTTAACGTCGTTTTTATTACGTAAAACTATTAACTTTAATCGTTTATATAACACATTATAACACTTTTAAGCTTTTAATATATTTATTTACTTTTTAATAATAATATATAATTTATTAATTTACGTATAATTGTTTTAAATATTTTTAATTTCTATTAATTATTACCGCTATTATTATTATTATATAAATCGTTAAAAGATTTTAATAATACATATATATAAAAACGTTATAAATATTTAAAAAAAAGGGGGTGTTTTTTTTATTTTATATATTATATAAATTTATTTTATTTATTATATTAATAAATTATATCTTATTTTTAACCGTTTAAAGAATCCCTTAATTTAATTTTTTTATTAATTAACCTTGTTTATATAATTATTAAGAAAATTAATAAAGTTATTTTTAATAAAAAAGTCCTTTATTTTCCACCAGTTTTAACGACGTATTAACTTTTTTAATAGTTTAAATCATGCTTTAATAAGGTTAAAATTAAGTGAATATAACGGCAAATATTATAACTTTACTTCGAAACTTTTAATTAAGTTATAAATCTTTTATAAGTAATAAAAAATTACGTTATTTATTATTAAAATAAACCGGGGATTTAAAAAAGGAAATATTTATAATAAAATACGATTTTTTAATTATTTTATAAATTCGATTAAGTTTATTAAGCTTTAATAAACGAAGTTATTAATTATCTCATTTATAATTATAACCGGTAAAAGGTTAAACCTTACCCTTTTTTTTAAAAGTTTAAAAATAATAAAAAATTATCTTTTTAAAGCTTAATCGTATTAGTAATAAATAACACGTTTATTAACTTTAAACTTATCCACAAATA